GTTATTTTGAAAACTCTCGAGTGTCATTTGCCTCAAAATTCCATCCCTTTCAATTTGTCTGCATCTTATTGTGTGGCTCTTCTAGCGTACATCTCATTGAGTGTGCATCAGTAGGCATTCTTCTCTTCTCTCCAAAGCAGTTTTTTCATAGCAGCCATAAGCCTCCCTTTTTAAATCCATGGACAATGTGTTTTTGTCCATGGTCGTCCTCCTTTTCAGAGGCGAATGCAGGGATCCTCTGTCCTCTTCTGCTGCATGCCCTCCCTCTCTCTTTTTGGGAGTTCATTTGGGGGGACCCGCTTGCCTCCAAACTCAATTGTCTTGCCGTAATGAAGCATGATCAAAGATAAAATCAAATGTAATAATTTGTGGCGAGGAGCACGTGGCTAGCAGTTGACCTGACTGCGATAGCTTGGGCAACAATGAGTGCGTCCAGCCAGCACCTTTGGTCCAGCAGTCCCCTTGTTCTGTCTCTGCCCTGTCCTCCTCTCACACCCATTCACAGTCACTTGTTGCTTGAAAGCTGGCTGCGGTGAGTGGCATGCCAGAACATCTCTTTGGGAAACCGTCTACATCTACCAAGTGTCTTTTTGTGATTCTGTAATTATAAATCTACTGCTCGTTTTCAGCTAGAGCCAATTGTTTGTCAGGTAAATGTGAAAATTATGCCGCTATTATGATCTTCCTTGCACTTTCTTAGATTTAGATTGTGTGAACTTGTATGGTGGTGTCAGCTGCTTGTTTCTGCAGAGATACAATCTCATTGTTCAATCCAAGACTTCAATCTGCAGTCAGAGCTGCACCCAGTACACATAGCACCAGCCCCTCACTGATCCTCCTGCAGGTGGTGAGTCCACAGGAGGTGAGATCTTTCAGTGGGGGCTTCAGGCAAAGGGGGTTAAATGTCTTGCCCAAGGACACGACAGCAGAAATCAGTGGGAGTTGTAAAGCAGGTCTCTTTCAACAAAAGTGTGGTCAAAATGTAACAGAAAAAGGAAGTCTCGTAAAAGGAAACAGTTTGTGAACAAATCAGACATGTGTAACATACATTTTAAAACTAGTGATAGAACCTATTAGGTACTATCACTAGGTATTAGATATCTCAGCTTTAAACCAGAAAAGCTTTGGTCACCAATCAACTCCAACTTGTATGACCTTGACCTTATTCAGATTCACTTTTGAGCAGTATAGGTTTGATAATGCCCCCTAGCTCCATGTTGTCTTTCCGTCGCTGCTGTCCAGCCGGCCTTCCCCATGACTGATGATGTGGTGTGGATGTCGGAGGTGGAGGATGGAAGCGTAGACTCAGAGTTTGAGAAACAGAGAGGCGATTGATGCTCCGGACCAGCTCTGCAGGTTCTGACGCAGAGAGCTGCTGTGTGTCTGGGTTTATGTACATTGCCGTCTATACGCTGTGACTCCTCAAATGCTGCTTGATGTGTTTGTTGAGAAAGACGCTATAGGAAATCAAATTTTCAAGTTTTGACTTTTTGCAGACTTTTGGCTTAAATATCCCTGTCCTTGTTTTGGTTCATGTTTGTGGAATATTGTAACGTGGGTCTTAGTCGGTGGTAAGAGGTAAAGACAACATTAGAAGATATAATGGTGTTGTGACAGTTCCACAGTTTGGGTAAGGAAGGATTCTGACACCATTGGTTTCTATACAAATGAGTGATCCAAATGTAATTATAATAAGCTTGCTGCCACATGTTATAATGACCAGGAAACATGAATTATTGCAGTGTACAATGAATGCAAGAATTAAGATAAATGTGTTGAGAAATGTTGCTGTAACTCTAGAGGCACACGTGTCTGCGCTGGGCTGGACAGTGAATGAGGACCGCGAGACAACAGAGCGAAAGAGAGCCTTACTGTAAGTGTGCTCTGAGTGTGCCAGTTCTCCAGTTTGGTGGTCTTCTTCTGAAGGTTGTTAATTAGTGCAGAATGTAGACTCCAGTCCCATTGCCAGCTCTGGTGAAAAGAGGGTAGGGAGAACGAGGGGGAAAGCCGTTGCACTGCCAAGAAGCAGGAATTTGTGATAGGTTTGAGAGTGCTTCCAAATGCAAAGCCCCTGCCTCCTGACCCATGTGTCTGCAGCGTGCCTCTGGGCCTCAGACACATCCATACAGACAGACACACACGGCTGCTATGGAGAGAATATGAGCATTATTCCTCGTGCTTGTTCTTTTGTAATAATACAGTACAGTAAATATAATAGAAACCTTTTAATTATATTCCTTCCAAGCATAAACTATAGCCGAGTGCAGTTTAACATACAGGCTGCATACATAATTGGCGAACTAGTGCACATAGTTGCTTACAAGTATATAACAAATATTTATTGTTATTCAACAATTTTATTTTCATACATAAATACATACACTATTTTGCATAATGTCATAGTTAGCTCATAATATCAGCTCAAAATGGAGTATGAAGAAGAAAAACAACTCCCACCCCCAATTGTACCAAGAGTTGTAAGGTCGTATTGAAAATGCATCAGTAGTTGATCTGCCTTTACCTTGGGCCTGTGCCTTTTTGTAAAATGGTCAACAACAGAATTACTTTTGGTTGAACAGTTCTCAGCCGACCTAGTGTATTCTTGTCCAGGCTGTTGCAGAGGAGTTTGAAGAGGACATGGAGCAGGACTATAGCTCGGTCTTAAAGAGATTTTGGCAGAGCGCTCAGCACCTTAGAAGGGGAAAGCGGTTAGTGTGGGTGGAGAGCTCCTGACCTCGTGCCTTACTCTTAGAGCTGTGCCAAAAATCAAAAGATGGAATAATCACAATCTCAACTTTTCTCAATCTCAGTGAGCATGTGCATCGAGAGACGCAAACCATAGGGCTAGGGAAGAGGACTTGTGGGTTTTTTTTCTTTTGGAGAAACAGAAAAGAGGCCCCAGGAAAGCCCCAGGACATGGCAGAGGGACTTGTCTCTAAGCTGGCCTGTGAACGTCTCAGGATTCCCCTGGATGAGCTGGAGCATGGAGAGGGAAGTTTGGGCTTTAACTGGGCCTCAATGACCCTGCGACTGATAAAGCGAAAGAAAATTAATGGATGTCTTATTCTTCACTTGTGTAGACATTGTAAATGTTCTTCAAATCTTTCGCCGCTGAGAGTGAGTTACAGCCTGAGTCCTGGATCAATAGCCTGTCCGTCCGTGGGAGCAAAATTATCCCCATGGTCATCCCTCTCCCCATTGATCAATGGCTCCAATGTGTTTGTTACCATTGCCTTTCCTGTGTTCAAACTTTTTGATTCTGTGATCTGTTGTTGGCGAGTCATGTCTGCTGTTAGGGGTATGCAACAAGTTAAATTTAATTTAATTGTCAAGATAGCGAAGCACTTTATTTTCTAAAATTATCAGAAACTAGATGAAAAGCACAATAACCACAAGAACAAGGAAAAGGGGGTATAACCAACCAGTGCTGAAGGGGTCTAACAAATCAAAATCATGCCAGCTAACCAGGAAAAGATGATTTTCTGTCCATGATCCTCATCCGCTCGCTCTGCCATGTCCTGGGAGTATATGCCTGAGTACAAACAGCATTATGTCATCCCAGTTGCACTCTCCCAATCTGGCCACACTGTGGAGCTTTGTGTGCATCCAGGAGAAGCACCAAAACTCTTTATTATGATGACCTGGTGAACAATTGTAGTGGCTTGATCATTTCTTTTGATTGGTTTATGTCAAGTAGAAATTGTTGTATTATTTTGTTTCAGGTAAGATCATTGTGGTTTTATTGACTGATTGGCATTGTCCTGTTTCAAATACTGCATATATACAGTATACACACAAATACATTTATACTTTTAAATATGTTGTTGTATCAGCTTGAAATTGAGAAGATAGCCTTTTTTTTTAAATATTGTTTATATATACATATATATATTGCAATTTCTATTGTTAAATACATCAGAGAATAAAAGCTGCTTTTCACCTAGTGGCACAATTATTGGCAAATATTAGCTATGATTATTTATTAATGTATTTATTTGAAATATTGTATTTATAACAATAAACCATCATTTCTCATTTCCTTCACTGCCCTGTAACTCCTCAAGTCCAGCCTCCTATAACATCTGCTCCCAGCCAGCCACCTGTCTGCTGTCAGATGCAATATTAATGCACGCCATACACTTGATAATTATTTCCCCCTGAATGTAACCGTGTCAAGCTGAATATGCATAACAGGATTGTAAAGAAGCATTTTATTAGCCGCGATCACTCTCTCTCTCTCTACGGTCTTTCTGTGCGTTGAAGTGCATGTCTGGGCCCAGCGTGCCTCCATACAGCGCTCGAGCCCTGTTTCCCAGGAGACACAACAACTGCGTGTGCGAGGAGGGTGGCAGAGGGGCGGTCATGGGGGGAGTGGCGGGGGCAAGGTGGGGTAAGTGATCCGGGGGTGGTACAGGGAGTGCGAGAGGAGTGGCATGTACAATAGCCAACGACATGCGACTGGCTATATATGGTCAGACTTGTGTTAAAGTTTTCAATGATAACAATTTGCTATGGACTATACAGTACCATCTGCTGTATCTTATTAGACAGGAGGGAAAGAGTTTGAAATGTAAGCCCTTTTAATCAAGGAACCTTTGTAACTTTTGTTTTTCAATCAATAAAACTATTTTTGTACCAGTCTTCTTATGGAGACCAAGTCACTTTAGCCCCATTTTATTAGATGTATTTTTTTTAAATAAAGTAAATGTCATTTAAAATGCAAGCTGATATTAAACAACAGTAAAAGTTCTAGGTCAAGTTTTAATCATCAGCATAAAGTTGTAGTTCTTATGAGGGCAAATATTGTATTATGGTGAGGTAACATGCATTACATGAATAACAACAGATAATATGTTTTGTATTTGCATCAAGTGTTGAGGATTAGTTATTCTTTGAGAATGTGAAGTCAGATTTCTATACAAGTTAGATTTCTGTAACAGTTCAATCACCTCTGAGTTGTTACAAATAAATATTTTGTTGAATTTTATAGAATATTTGGATTAGAGTGGACGGTTGCTTCCGCTGTTGCTTTGAGCCATAGGGTCTTGATCGCGGATAGGGCTGGAATAATGAGAGGTGCTGCTGAGGAGGGGAGGCCAGGCGGGTGGCGCGGTGGTGGGGCCTTCGCTGTGTCCTGCTTCCCCCATGTCCCTCACAGTCCCTTGTTTCGGCGGACAGCATCTGCAGCCTGCTTTACATGCAAAACACACCCTGCAGAGAGGGCGTCTACACATGGGGCTGAGGGGACAGAAGAAAAGCATTCCACAGGCAGCGCTGGGAGAAGAGGGAGGTGGTCTCTTCAACAGCCTCAGTCTATCTGAGCGGAGCAGTCCCCCTCGCCATCATCACATCACAAAACACAGGGCATGCGGTAATGAGGCCTGAACGAATAGATGCACTCACACGTTTCTTTCTATACTTAAAACCAAACTTGGCAAGAAAGTCCAATTTTACAGCCCTCATTTCCACAGATGTTTATTCATTTGCAGTTATCAATAAAAATCACCCGATTTTTGTTTTTTATTGAAAACAAAAATTTACATGAAATGTTTCATAAAACAGAGTCAAAGTGACATAACTCTTGGGTCAGTGGATTGCAAAAGTGCAAATGCAACTTCAACTTTTGCAGATTATGTAATTATTGTTCACACATACATACATATTTCTTATTATTTTTATTTTGTTATTTCTGAAAGACCTACAAAGTAATGGACAACTGTGAAGTGAAAGCAAAATGATACCTGATTTTGTTTTTATTTGTCATTAATATGACTCTACAAGCTCTGGAGTCTAAAAGTTTTGTCCATTCGTCTTTACAAGACAACTCAAGTGTCAGATTAGATGGAAAAGAGAAGTTTTTATGTTCACCAACAGCTTTTCTCCCCAGAATCATCCACTTTACCATTAACACTCTTCGCTGTTCCTGCTGAAGAAAAGCACCCCAACCGCATAATACTGCCACCCCAGGCTTTACTTCGACACTGGCTTTCTAAAAACACAAGTCATAAAGGCCGGATATGTCTAGTCTAGTGTGTTAGTCCCATGTACAGTACAATCGACAGGAGCTGCAGATTGTGGATGTCTGCAGCTCCTGTCGATTGTCTACAGGCCTCTTGTCTACAGGCCTCTTGTCTGCATCTCAGATCAGTGCTGTCCTTAATTGTACAGGTAGTTTGGATGGGTGCATGTGTCTTGGTGGGTTTGCAGTTCTGCCAATATCTTGCCATTCCCGGATGATGGATTAAACAGTGTTTTGAGAAATTGTCTAAGCTTGAGAAGTATTTTTTATAACCTCTCCTAACTTCATCCCCGACACCTTTCAGGTGGGTTCCTTGGACTTCCTGATGCTGTTTAGTGATAAATTCTTATACCAAACCTCTGAGGCCATCACAGAAAGGCTGCAGTTATAATGAGATTAGTTTAAACTAAGGTGGAAACTAATGTGTTCACATTTGACCGTTCACGCATATTTCTTTTCTCTACTTTAATTTCTATCCTGTGTGCACACATTTTGCATAATTGGCTCTGATCCTTCTCAATGGGGGTCTTCAGGAAACATCTAAAATAACTCAGAGAAAATAAGTGTTATTTATTCTAATCTACTTACAGAAATAACACTGTTTGTTGTGTAATCTTTCAAAAAAAAAAAGAAAAAAAACCTAAATAAAATCTACATGCTTGTGGTCATAAACATGAGAAAATGTCCAAAAGTGCTAGCCTGCTAACGCAAGTCAATATTTAGTCTTGGAACCATCCATTCATTTTCTGTTTTTTTTCATTTTGGTCGGAAAATCTGCATGTTGCTCAAAGCCAATCATATCAATTCTACCCAATGACATTCACATAATGTTACCAAATGGTTATTGTGGAAAAGCTTAAAAAATCTGCTGTTGTCATGTAGGATCTGTAAACAAATACAGGCTGTCCCATGGTGCGTTGTCTTCTTCATCTTGCTGCCCCTTTTTGTTCTGTGATTGGTCCAAATCCAAATCATTTTTGCCTAGGGTTCCCAGGCTTTTTTCAAAGCTAATCTGAAATGATTTGAGCGCACACAACAGCATAGGTAATACCCGTCTAAAAAAGGTCAAATAGTGTCCTTAAAACTGTTTAAAAAAAACATCAAGTGATTATTTGCAGATGTCTAGAACTGTGATGTTTTTGTGTTGTACAAGTTTCTTCTGTCCTTGTGGTGCTACTGAAGGGGGCTGCTTCAAGACAAATGTCTGCTTTGGGAGATGAAAATCTAAATCACGGTATATACTGTAGGCAAGGCAAGGCAAGTTTATTTGTATAGCACAATTCATACACGAGGCAACTCTAAGTGCTGAACAAAACAAGAAAGCATTAAAATCATAAATAATCACAGTACATTAAAAATAAAGATAAAAATATAAAATCCCTCAGTTGTATGTACAGCTAAACAGAACTGTTTTTAACCTGGTTTTAAACATTGTCATTGAGGAGGCCCGTCTCACATCTTCAGGAAGATTGTTCCAGATTTTAGCAGCATGAATCTGAAAAGCAGCCTCCCCATGTTTAGTCCTGACTCTGGACACTAACAGGAGTCCAGTCCAGTAGGTGTGCTCAATAGACCCACCTCTATCAAATGTGTGTTATTTTTTGCTTCAGTGAGCACTTTCCTGAGACGATTTATAAAAAGCATTCATTTTAGCATAGACTGACCACAATAAAAGACAACTTCAATATTTGTCACACAGCACAATGCCACAGACTGTCCACCAGAGCTGTTTCCCATGTATTGAGTGTTCCTTCTATTGCCATAAGCCGTCTCTAAATGCATTTCAGAGAAGTTGACAGTTAATTAGGTTTTTTTCAGCAAGAAATAGGGTGTTACTGTTGTTACTTTTCTGCTTCAAAGGTATGTTGTCAATACTCAGCAATGATGATCAAAAATGCTTTAGATTTATAAATCCAATTTTGTATTGCCAGATCAATAATTGTTCAGGTGTTGTATGAAAGTTTGAAGTAGGGCAACACAATATTGGATATTTGAGCAATATTTGATATGGGTGTTTATTATTTTGATAACAATATTATAGCAATGTATTTATCTTTTACCTAAAAATGCCATCTGCATTGAACCGCAAGAGAAAAATCTCTAACAAGAATTAAGCACAACATTAATTACATTCAAATGCAGTATGGCACACATATTAATGTAATGTAATGTAATGTAATGTATTAATGTATATAATAATAATAATAATCTTTATTTGTATAGCACTTTTAAAAACAATGTTTACAAAGCGCTGCACAGTCAGCATAATAAACAATAAAAACAGTCATAATACAAGGTCAAAATAATTAGATACAGAAACACAAAGCAAACAGAGCAAAACACAAAAGAGACACAACAAAGACAAAGCATATTGCGTAATGACTGCAGTTAAAGATTGGTGTCGCTTTGAAATTTCCTCATAAGGAGCAACAGAAGCAAAACTCTCATTAATTCTCATTTGTGCATTTCCTTTTAGTTTGACCGCAGTTGGCTGTGGAGGTTTAGATAGTAGATTTAGATTGTAAATAGTAAATACACAGCATAAAGTACCCTGTAGTTGTGCTAGAGGCAGCTCTGGAGATTTGTTGTGTTTCTCTTTGACGTAGCAGCTATTTTTTGGCATGACTTGTGAATAACTTGTTTCTGAGATTGGTCCTGGCTTGTAAATCCGGAGAAGTCCTAAATTTCGGGGGTAAAGTGTCTTTTAGGAAGAAGTTCCTCTCTGCATTCGTCTGCATTTGTCTCTTCATCATCCGCCATGCTCATTTTGTTTCTCTGCGTGCTCCACTCTAGCATTTGGCCGCAGATTCGACACATTTGTCTTGTATGCAGATTTTCACACAAGACATGTATACAAATATATCAATATTACGTGCCTCACTGTAAGAAGGGCGCAGGTTCGATGAATACACAAAATCCTGAAAGGTCATCCTGACTCACACCTAATGCAGGTCTGCAGTACCCACGTCATTGGTTCAGTAGAGAAGACATGTTTTGCTAATGTAATGTAATTTAATGTTGATTGTGCATTTTGCCGACCAAGTGTTTTACAATGTTCAGAAATCAGATAATTTTCCATTTACACACAGCGATGACGGGAGAGAGACGTTCAGAGACGCCGAACAAACTGGCCCATCGAAGCCCCCGACAAACACCCTCCATTCACTCTACATTCATACCTATTGTACATGTTTTTAGCGGTAGGGGAAACCGGAGCACCCAGAGGAAACCTACGCAAGCACAGGGAGAACATGTAAACTCCACTCAGAAAGGCTCTGTTCCGTCTGGGATTTGAACCCAGGACCTTCTTGCTGAGAAGTGAGAGTGCAATCCACTCAGCCACCGTGCCGCCGACCTATGCTTAACAGTGGTAGTAAAAGGAAAACTTTTTAATCCAATGTATCCAATGTTAATCAGTGTCATTTTAACAGTTAATTTCTTTGACTTTTCATAAATTTAAAAAGACATAACTAGCACCACAGTTCATCCAGACCTTTGTTGATGTTTACAGACAAACAGACCCACATACAAAGGCAATCACAATATCCTTCAGCTGTGCAATACTAAGAGTTTAACAGCAAGACAAAGATTCACCAGTGGTAACTATTTACTTATTGCTGTTTTTCTTTTTTCTTTGTAAAAAAATATTAGTGGCCATTTTCCCACAACTTTAAATAAGGCTATTTTTTTTCCCGCTTAGTGTTTTCAGAGACCCATTGTGAGGAGTCGCTCCTATTAAATAGTCTAACTCTGGTCCCATTGCTCCAGACTGGCGGTGACTTCTGGTGTTTGTCCTTTCCATTTTCACACAAGGAAGCTTCCTTCTTTTTCCCTTGCCTCACTTGTGAAGTGTGCAAGATTACTTTTGCTGTGTAACCATCATGGTGTAATAATAAACTGAGGAAATGAGGGCTAGTGCCTCACTTAATGTTAACATTAGATAAATCGGAGGTAGATTGCTACCGGATCAGGTTTCAAAGCACACAATGTTACAGGCAGAAGTTTATACATGAGAATGAAAGGACTGCATGCCAATCAAACCACAGCTGGACCTCAACACCACTGTGTATGTTACTGCAGGAGAAATGGTCAGGTGATCAATATATCTAACTTACTGTATACTACATAGAGCGAAGATGAGCAACACATTTTCCCTAAACATATATAAGACAATAACCTTCCATGTAGGAAAACAATATCAAACACAGTATACAGTTTTCTGGAGACAAATGTACACTTCAAATTGACTGTATTTCCCCAAAACTAAAGGCAACATTTCAAGGGGCCTACAACTTGACTACTGTTTCACTACCCTCTTTGTTCTCTCTGACTTCTCCAGCAATTTCTTTCCATCGCCCTCTCGTCACTCCCAGAGAGTTTTACCCGTTCAGAGTTCCACATGGCGCACTAAAAGGAAGAGGCAAACCATTCCATAATTATAAACACTGGAGTGGTTCCCCTCTATGTGGAGTTGCCTACAGTTGCTTTGCTCATGAGAAGTGTTTCACCATGTTTGAGGTCTAACTTGCTCAGCATTTCTTGTGATTTGAAAAAATGTGCACATTGATATATTGTTATGTCTGTGTGTGTGTGTGTCTGTATGTGTGTGGGGGGGTACACATAGTTTCATCACTAAATGATCTCAGCGATGGAACTGATTAAGTATGGATACTCCATAAAAACAACAATATTTTCAACTGTGTATTCATCCATGCTATTACAAACCATCTAGTTTGGTATTTTCACAATATGGCAGTTTCCATTAACTGTTTGGCTTTAAGTTTGTTCTTTGAAGGTTGTAGCTTGTAATTGTGGCTCCTCTATATCCGTATACACCCTTCCACAGATGCAGCGCTTCCATCCCACTTTCTGCATTGTGCTCATGAGCCACAAGAGCCGTGTTGGCAAGACAGCCATAATATTATTTTGTATCTTTACATTATGGAAGATCTTGGCTTGTGTTTCTGCAAATATCTGCATTATTTACGGTAAACATATTCATTGAACTCTACTGAAATCAGATTTTCCCGACCCTTGCTTGAACAACTCAGAGGTTTCTCCTGTTTACAGTTGTCAAAAATAGTTTGTCTGCCTTTAACCGTCTCCCTTTTAAGTCACACTTCTCTGACACCAAAGATGAGATGGAAGCCGCAGGTCTTAGCTGCCCTGTAATTTGCCATGTCTCAGCGGAGAGTACGAGCAGATGGAGATTCTCTGTCCATATGTGCACGTGTGGCTTGTTTTTTTGCCCTGTGTTATGAAATACACCCAAGATCACTCTCAATTTTGCACTGGCTTTGCTAAAGTGGCATATAGTTCAACAACAACCACAGATCTTTGTTCTGGACCTATAGAATACATATACAGTATCTGTGAGTAATCAGGGTGGAACATTTTAGCTACCCACATTTAGTCACCCAATGATTAAGAATATCTATCAATGTGTTATGTTCATCTCTAATTCCCACTTCCTCAGCGGCTGTTCATCCTGGGACAATACCTGCTTAAGTCCTCCAGTACCACCTCCCACCTCTCTACACAGAGGCTGTAACGCCCCTCAGCCAGGCGCCCCTGTCCTATCCCAGCGAAGGCGAGCGGCTGCAGGGCGAGGGGAACAAGAGGCCCCACCGCTGGGCCAGCTGTTGCAGACTCCCCGGCCGCCCTGGGCCCCACATTCCCTCATTCAAGGGAGCTTTGTAGTTCTGACATCTTGGAACAGTTGAGCAGCTCAGCGTCTAATGCTGCTGTAATGGTGAGTGCGGGAGGGGGAGAAGAATGAGACAGGCTTTATGTATGCTTACTTGTTACGCGCCATCCAGCCACCCTACCACCCTACCACCCCCCCTCACACACACAGTGAACCCCCCCATCTTCTCTGTATCTCTGTACTGTACACTGATCCTTCACAAGGCTCTACACTTGTGTTTTCCCATAATCTCCCACCAACAATCAGTTTTGCTTGTAAGTGTGTCAATAGTTTAGAAGAAGATTACTTACACCAGTACCAGTTTATACCGTGGCCTGTGTCACTATTCGCTTGCAGGGAGTTCCCGAACCTAATCGTGTGACACAGAAACAACCACAAAATGGTGTCTGTTCTGGCTGAAGCTCATTCCAGAAGTTTAGACCTGTCTAGATCATATGATAGCAAAGCAGAGGCAACAAAGATTTAGTTGTATCTCTGGGAGAGAGCATGAGGAACGCATATAGTTGTAAGGGGGTTTAAAAACAATGTATTTGGCTATAGCTGTAAAATAAACAGAATGGGATCACAGCCGCATTCTTCTTTGTTATTCACCTAACCTGCCCTTTTTGTTTTATCTCTGTCTGAGCATACTATACTACTATCTCTGTACCGAGCAACATAACTTAAAGAGGAATGACGCAGCCCTGTGGCAATAGCTTTTAACTTTTTGAACTCCAGGAGCCAGCCTTGCCAACAGCAAAACTGCTTCCCTGCATTCACGAAAGGGTAGTTTTAACCAGGCAACGACTGTGGTTTAAAGTAGACCTACGGATTATCAGTGATTTCATCCTCTCCCATTTGCACAATCCTCTTAATTTTTTTCTTTTTTGCACTTATGTGAAGTTGAAAGTTTAAGAAATGTCACTTGGATGCACCCCAACCAGTTCTGTGCTGTGCATTTTCTGTCATCTCAATGCCCTTTCAAGAATGCATGAGGAAATAAAAGAGGTTGCATTTTTCTGAAACAAACAGCTTATTGGCTAAAGGAACTCTCTGGTCAATGACATGCAGACCTCTAGATTCCTTGGAGGACAACTTACTCAATAGTGGCACTGATTCCATGAGATTGACATTATATTCAGTTTTAGAACCGTTTCTCTACGTACAGCATTGTTTCAACGTGGTTGAAATTATCTTCTCTGGGTTCTGGAGACAGAGGCTGCAGTACCTGTCTGTGACCTTAAGATGGAACTGCTGCATTCAGAACAGAGGATGCATCTATTGTCATGAGCATGTCCTAGCATACTTTTGGTTCAGCACTGGCAAATCTAACTAAGGGGTAGTTATTATAAAGTGATACATTTAGGTTTATACAAGGGTCAGTGAGAATGTATTTCAAATCCACCTTAAATCTGCTTTTAATGTGTGTGTTGTAATGTCCAGCTTTGCCATGTGTTACATCTCCAACAATAAGGAACAGTCAGAAGATAAGATACAAGAAGATGCAGATACAGGGAAACAGAAACGTTTTTAATGTCCATCCATTTCCATCCATTTTCTACCCTTTAATCCATTTCTGGGTCAGGGGGGTGGCAGTCAGAGATGCCACCCAAGTCTCATTTATTTAGTTTTTAATGTCCACTTTTTATTTATTTATTATTTATGTTTAATTATTTATAATAATCTCAAAACAACAAGACTTCTTTTGTTTGTTTGTTTTTGTATATATTTTTTTGCTTTCCTCAAAATTAAAAATACTTGATTTGGTTTAGCCAGGTATTTTTCCATGACAATTCACTGTAAATCTTCTTCACTCTATACCCAAATATTTATCCGCAAATCTACAAATATGCATTTATTTATGTATGTTTTTAATGATTATGATGTTTCAATAATTATTTGTCTTGTACCAGGGATCAATAAAAAATAAATAAATTGATACTCAAATTAATGACCAAAATGTGTTTAGTTTTCTTCAATAATTAATATCATTATTAACTTTAAAACCATATTTCATTTGAATTTATTATTGGGGCAACAATGTGACAGATCTTATCATCTTTCATTTAGCGCCAAAGTGATTATTGCTCTGGAAAAGCGCCAAACAAACATATACTTAATTAATAGCCATCTGGTATCTGGCACCAGCTCTTTCATATATGTATGTGTTTTTCTGTATTTTCTTGATTTAAATATAGATTTTTAAAAAGAGTATGAAGTTCCTCAACCTTTCAGCAATAAATGGTTTGGGTTAGGGTTGACTTGAGTTTTTTTAGTTGACGTTAAATGATTGTTTTCCCTTACATTTGAATTAGAGTGTATTTTGTTCTCAGAAATGTGGCTTTGTGAGTTGTTTGTGGCCAACAGGTGTGCTGCCATCTGGGGACTAACGGTTGAATCAGTCTTCCCTGAAAGCTTGCACTGATCAACATAAGATAGGACTCCATAATATCAAAATTAAATCATTTAGTGATGTACATGAACCAAGATATCAAGGACTGATGAACAATTATGAAGCATCATTCCTGCCATTAATAACTTCACATTTGAGAGAAACATGCATTGGCTACGTCTGCAAATTGTATCTCAAATAAAACAAAATGTCATAATAATAATCCTAATGCATCGTTTTTTCATAGCACTTTGTTTTGGATGCTTCACGTGGCATTATGCATTCTCTCCGTACATGTTGATAAGTTATTAGCCACCGCTGCCCTGGGGCACACTGGCAAAAGCAGGGCAACCAGTATGTTGAGGCCAGTGGTACGATCATTCACGCACACATCAGACTCATTCTGTCAATGTGAATGGTGTATTGCCTAAGGACACAACGACAGTTTGGCACTTTACAGCTGCAGCCGCCCCACTGTGTCACCTGGTGTTCCCAGAGGTCTCCCATCCCTGTACTAACCAGGCCCTGGCCCTGCTTACCTACAGAGGTCTGACGGGGTCTGGCTTTAACTTTCAGCTGGTGCCACAAAATGTAGATTTGAATGGATACGATGAAAACATTTGAAAGACTGCATTTATCGAAAAGCTCAAATAGGGATGTGCCAAAACTCAAAAGCTCATAACCTCAGCTCTTATTGTGATTACAAATAAATGTGTTTGTTTGTTTATTTATTCCTTTCAGGCATTTCACATTGGGCACACGTCACCTCTTGTCCATCATAGATCCAACAAACAAAATAAAGTCTTGCTAACATGCATGAGAGGGAGAAAATCAAAATATATATAAATGAACTATATTAGTTGCCTGAGAGTAGGAATAAGAAAACGTATTATACATATTAATCCTACCCCCATTATACATATTAAATACAATTTAGCTTCACTGAATGTATATACATGAAATTATGATTATAATAAAGAAGTAATGTTGTAATGAGATTGTTCTGAGAATATCATAAATATTATGAATGAAAGAAAAATTGACGGATACCAATAAGTCCTTTTCTAAAAAAGGATCAGAAAATGTATTTTATTTAGGAGACAAAATGGAATCAAGTGGATGGACAGCATAAGTTTTTGAGTAGTTTGGCAATAAAAAAATATATATTTTATTTTTCAATAAAAAGTAGACAAAAACTCTAATCAGTCATATAGTGACCAGTCAATATGGGTATAAATGTGGGTATAAATGTCAGATTGCCCAGCCCAAGGCACAAGACAACAATAAAAATAAAATGTATTTATGTTTTGTACAGCTCAAATTTACAATCGCAGCCATCTCTTTAAAAATGTTTGATTTGCCAAGAGCAGAGTGAAAATCCAACAATAAACAATACATTATTTCATAATTCTGTTTATAATCAAACAGTCATTGGTCAAAAAGGACAAACAGATGAACCAATCTTCACAGGAAGGAAAATAGATAAATGTTCTGGAGTATCTTAGAACCTGCTTCAGCAAGAAACACCAAAAACAGAAAAAGGTTTAATATTTTTACTCAACAACTGTTGAATCTTGGAAAGGGAATCTTGGAAAGGAGTGTTAACATCAATTTTATAATTTAAAGACTGTAGTTTATTTACTATTGTATTTGTACTTGCATATTTATTAGTTCACTATTGTTTCTATTAATCAATTTGATATTTGGATCACAAAAGACAAAGACATTTCCATTTCTCACCACATCTTTATCTTCTTCTTATTAATTTTAATCTTGGGAGTTGAATATTTCCAATATTGATTAGATTGAGACTGACTACAGACATGTTTAATTTTACATGATTTGCAGCTCATTTAAATGCAAATCTAATCGCATTAGGGCTTGCCCAAAGAAATGCAATTTGTTTTTTCACAAAATCGTGCAGCTCACACGCTATGGTCAGCTCCTAATCTCATCATCAAACCATTTTAGGTCACAAGATTTTTACATATCACTGAAATCAAAATCCAATTTTTTTCTTTTCTTTTTTTTCCAGATACCAAAGATGATGTAACCTAGGGCTAATAAAGACACACGTCACTTTGCCTATGCATAATGTGCATGCATTTTTAATTATCTTTGCTTTGGGTAAAAAGAGTTTGAGTGCAATGTGTGTAAAAGCAACTAAACAGTCGTTGACAAGTGACTTCACAGCAGAATGGAAATGCTTTAACGCAGGCTGCATGCACATCCTGTTCTTGGTATTCAATTTTTGGAGGATTTCGAGGAATGTCAAGCTACTGGTTAGTTGGGCTGTTTTCAGTTTCCTGTATAGATCTTGTAATCATACATGATTTATATTTAGACATAGATGAACATATTATGTAGATATATATATATATATATACATATATATATATATATATTATAAATTATATATATATGTATATATAAATTATATGACAACATTGTTGCAATGTAATTCTATTCTGTTTTTGATATCGAGATTAATCACGATTGTTTTGTTTGTGGACAAAAGAATCATGATTAGTTAGTTAAGATGCATTGGTGCACACGTTCAAAAGTGCTTACAATTGACAGTTAGAATGTCGAGAAAGCTATATATAGAGACATTACTTCATAAGGATGAGTTTCACTAGATATTGCTACACGCTTTAGAACAAGCTGAAGAGAGGAAATGGTTTGGAAAGAGCATGTTTGGGAACTCCACACATTATGGCCATTATCCTACTCAACACCGTATCAAAACTCCCTCTTCATACTTACAGTAGTAATATACTTTCATGTGTTGTTCAAGGACTGTGAAATAAAAGCTGTCAGTTTGTGAAGTGAGAGCGTGTATTTTGGTGTCTCGACATAGACATCTGTGTATTTACTACTTACTAACTTACTTTGCAAATGGATGATGCTGGACACCTTGTTCTTGATGCAACACATGAACCAGTCTTTTCCGTATCCACAGGATGCAAAGAGGGGTGCTGATGCGGTGTGTGCCCTCATTAATGGTACTCAGTGTCTTGAGAGACTTGTAGGCCTGACGGCTCAGATTGTTGGCCATCTGCCGTCCCGGGGCAGGGGCTGTGCTTGTACCTCGTCACTGTGTGTCTGCTGTGGCCAGCGTCATTTGACTTGTGCTCTCGAGGCCATGACCCTGTGCCCATTTCCTTCCAGGCGGTCGTTCTAACAGCAGGGTTAAGTTTATCTGATACCCCGAGATGAGTGCTACTTGAAAGTGCTAAGTTTCTAGACCCAGAACCCTTTTCTTTGATACTTCGGTTTCTGTTGTGACCCTGATCCATCCATATTGGCCAATTGTCCATCTGGACCTCACCACACACAGGCACTTCTTTATCAGTGACTTCTTGGCTGAGAAGGAAGTTGCATTTTCTCTGTACAGTTTGTCTCCAATTGTATTGTAGTGTTATTTTGTTACCTACTGTATAAGGTACACAACTTTAGGCTGATTAAATTAATTACAAAGTAAAGATTATAGATGTATGTTTTTCATAAATGTATGTTTTTCATATTCCCATTCCCATCGAGTGCAAGGGTGAATAGAATAATTTTAATGATTATCATCATCAATTATTTGGAAGATTTATTTTGTGCAACCTTTCAAGAAAGTAGCTCTCCCCTGAGAGCTGCCCTGGAATTTGCTGCATGTTTGAAGCGAGTGCAGCCGGCTGCTTTCACAGGACTGTGGAATCTTTCAGTGGCCCTTGGTGCCAGGATCAGGGCATCAGGTGTCGGTGCAGCCCCAGGATCCTCTTATCTTGCGACCCATGAGGTTATCCAGGAATGTCAAAACTTTTAAACTTGTTTTATCTAAGACATTTAATTTGTTTAATAAAACACTGTTTTGAATAGTGTTTTGTGTGTTTTACTGGATGAGGAATTGGCTCTAACAACAGTCAGCTGGTGTCTAGAGCAGAGTGCAAGGCCAACTGCAGCATCCCACTCGGAGAAGTCTCCCTCCTCAAAGAAGAACATGGCACACTGACACCAGATTCACTTCTTTTCTGGTCCTTCCAAAACAAAGACTCTTCTGGTCTTTTATATTCATTGTTCTAACTCTAATGTATAGCGTCATCCTGAGCAGTGACTAATGCTCTATTTGGCTGTATTTTGTGGGGTTTCTAAGAATGAAACTTTCTTAGCACAAGGTACATTTTCTGTTGAGGTTTGTGGGGAATTATTTTTGGGACCCGCTCGAAAATGAGATGCTGCATCTCAAGGGGCTTTCTCAAAATACAAAAAATAAAAAGCATGGTTCTTATTACTTTCATGTTTAACATTTTCAAAACATGAGTTCAAAATATTTGCTCTGAATATCCCTTTTGCTGAAAGATAATTGCCAGGCGTGTTTCTGTGAAGGTTTTGTTGAGGACATGAGCGTTGAGTCAGTTGAGTCAATCTTTTCTCGAGGTATGTGTGGTGATGCTGTTCATGAATGGGCTTGAGTGTGAGAAAGTTGCTGCAGGGTAACTGGGAGTGGTAGTCACCTTGAGCAAATGTCATGACAAAAGAATGTCATCGATGATAGCTATTTTTACATGGAAGCCCAGGAGCCAATGGGAGGAGTAGAACTTTCTTTGATGTTGATTGAAGCAACAGAGAATGTTGGCGTTCTAATTATTTTTTGTGGGACATTTTTATGATAGATCTAGCGGAACGTAAAGCTGAACTGACTATGATTTGTTGTTACTTATGACATTTGTATGATATGATCTAGATGCAGTGGCACGTTTGGCCTTTTTTTCTTCATCTGCTCATGGGGCTTGATCATGTAGACAGAAGGCCAAGCAAGGTAAACTTAGCTCTCTGTGCATACTGCCTCCAGATTTTTTTGAGGGAATAACATGTGTTGTTGGTATTTGAAATGTCTTGTATTATACTGTATGTCCACAGAACACATTTTGAGGCATCATCCTGGAATAGTAGCTCTGAATGACAAGCTTTTTTGACTTGGTCAGAAGTTCAGTCATTCCGCATTCTTGACTAAAGGATAAAGCAGGCCTTAATCCCCTTTACCAGGTAGCTCCAGTTGGCAGTGGAGCCAGGCATTCCTGCGGCATACCAATTTGGGGAAGTTGCTAGGGTATGGATGGACAATTCGAACAACAATAGGGTACGCTCATTGAAAGAAAAATACGGTTTAAGTTCTGTGAGAAAGTTTAGCCACCACAGAGTCATAGGTGCCATGTGGTATTTGACATATTTTGGGTTCTTTTGAATCAACAATTGCTTCTATTACACTCAATAGGTTGTGTAGTTGAGAGCATCAGAGGCTGGAAACTGTGAACTGTGAGGGAAGGGAGGTGTTGAGGTAGAGTACGTGCTGTTGAAGCTGACAGTCAGCTCCATGTGCTCTGCCAGGGCAGACTATTGGAACAGAAGGCTTTAGAGCAGCTTACCTGGACATCAATGACCTATTGGACGTCCCTCCAGAGGTCTCCTGTCAGGCACTGCAATCGACTGCTGGCAGCAAGTGAGACGGACAAGAGGCAGCGTGGAGCCCCTTTCTCTGGTTCTATTATGGTGCCAAAGCCAGAGGTGGAGCAGCATTACTGACCTGTCCTGCTGCTGCTCACAGGCCCAGTGGATTAGTGGTGAAAAGGCCCCCAGAGAAAGAGCGTGGCTGGGATACAGTGGGCCGTCTTTGTGCCGAGGGTCTGCAGGCCCTGGAGCACTGACTTTAGCCCTCTGTCAACCCTGGCCCGGTGAAACCCCTCCACAAAAGCCATTCATCTGTCGTACTGTACATGCCAAATGGCCAGCATTCCTCCTCAAAGTTGTTTTGTAAGCTGCATCTGTCTGTCTGTGCAATTACAAGTCTGTTAAGAGAAGAATGGTTTGTGTACAGCTGGGGGTTTCTGCATTTGTCCAGGAAATCTGATTAACCTTCTGTCAGCACATTTGGACTATGGCAACATAGAAAAGTACATGTGAGCGGAGGAAGACAATTTGAACTACTGTAGTGTCTTAGTATAGTATATTTGATTTTAGGATGACTAAACTATAGTAAAATCTTAGATTAGATATGTTTTAATGTGTTTTTTTACGGAAGAAGATTATTTTGGAAATGAAATAACAATGAATATTCAGTAAGTCAAGTGTTTTCAATATTACTTACATTTCACAGTGATCTCTGCGTACTTTATGCAGTACTACCCAGGCCATTCACTGACCAGACTATTTGATGAACAAAACACAAGTTTTGTAGACTACGTTTTTAAATGTTTTCTAAATTAACATTAATTGTACATAACACATTTAAAGGCATTTTAAACTGACCAAAAATCTAAGTTCCAGGGGCGACTGCGACCTGGGCTGTTGCGTCAAAAGCCCTCATCTATTAAGGAAGATGGATGAAAATGAATTGTATTAGACAGTAAGAACCACTGTTTTTAGCCTTTTTTGTTCAGGTTATAACTCTAACATAAGTCACATCAGGGACAATACTACAGTTGGCTGTACTGATTCAAGGATCATTGCTTATTATTGGAAAGTGAGATTTTACTCCACATGGATGAAAAACGTATCATAGTCCATTATAATTTGATCAGTCATGATAATTCCTATGTGGATTTTTTGTTAAAATAACCAATATTTTGGGGCAAAGTATTGGTACTATTGTCCTTGTAATACAATACTGTTTGAGCAGAATAAGTCATGTTTTTGCCTCAATATTGCTTAATTCTGCTGTTTATTTGTTTCAGCTTATGGCTTTAAATGTTAACCACACATTGAAATTCACTCACTGGGATGCCCCTGTCATTTTGTAATTGCACCAGTGGCACAAAATCATTTTATCATTATCATTTAACACAATCATTTTGTCATCATGATAGGCCTACTCATGATACAGATCCAACCCCGTGGGGTATTATTTCAACATTTTCCTTCTCATTTTCTGCAGTGATCAATAAAGACCTAGTTACATAGAAGTGAGTTTATGTACTGTATGTAATGATGAGGCCTGTACTGATTCAAGGATCATTGCTTTTATGGTTTAATTACTAAAATGTACTGACACCTGTAAACCACACTTTCCATTTTGTTATTTGGATTTCATTCACCTGTATTGTTTTTAGTGTTTCACCTTGCTACTGTATGTGGTGGTGAGAGTCTGTTTGTGATCCCAGGCCATTCAGATCAGGTGCAAATGATAGAGGCTTCCAGTGAAGGACTGGACCACCTGTCGCCTAACCACTCTGTCCTACGGTGTCATAGGCAGCCCTCGTCCCACTAATACCTCTTCCAACTCAGACCTCTTCCCCCTCTGCCCTTGTTCTCTTCAGCCCATGTGTTGTCACCAGCGTTGGATCTCCTCTCTGTTCCCACACACACTAACCACTGCTGCCCAGAGGTGGCTTTGCCCACTCCCAGCAGCTCACCGTTTCAGAGGCTGGAAATCCCCCTGCGCACAAAGGGGCTAGATATGATAGCACAGCACTGCAGGCAAGGGAGGGAACAGACCGGGGACATTATTGATACGGACAGCACTTTTGTCTGGGAAAGTCCTTAAGGGAATGCTACCAATTGTTGTTAATTGAATGGCTCAGTATTCTCTCCAAGTGTGGCTGGTATGTGTTACTTGAATTGGAGAGGCCAGGATCCTTTCTGATGACTTTGACCAATTCCTCTCATCTGAATCATGCTGTCTGTCCAAACGGGCTCTCATATTGGAATTACACCTGCAGCGGTTCTTCATTCACAAAAACTGTATTTGTATATTGATACTTCCTCAAAAAAATCCCCATGTTTTGATAAGTGGTTAAGGTCTCTTGTCAGGCTCTTTTGACTTCCAGCAGACTTTTCTATTGATTTTCAATACTGATACACAGTATTGTTAGATACTGTGTACTTTCATAAAAGATCCTTTTTGTCATGTTGATTTAGCTCAAGTCCAGCTGCTATATGAAAACGCTGCACGTACAACTCTTGATTGTTCTGAATAAGATCAGCCTCAGCAACAAAAAATGTAACTGAAAGGTTTAACCCTCCCACACCTTAGACTGCAGATTTTGAGTAAAAAAATAAATTTATATATGCATT